GGCGGGAGCGGTTCCTATCGGGCTCCACACTAACAAGAAGTTGTCATCTACGGGTGCACCAAATAGAGATTTTTCATTTTAAATAACTTTTCTAACTTCTTTCCTCCTTCCACCAGCCATCCAAAACGAAGTTAGACACTCCTAACGAAGATTCAAAATGTGTCCAATTAATGCTCTATCTTTCGTGAGAATGAATGACAGAGGCAAAGGACAAATATGGGCAATATACCACACAATTCGTATGTTTTTGCATATCCAACAAACGTTAATTTCGTACATATATATGTACATGAAAAATATATTATATTTAAAAAAAATTAAAATAATGATATTTTTAACCTAACAAGAATAATTTGGATGATGTAAATATAAAATGTAAAATTTAGGTGCTAATAAATAAATACATTTTAATAGTTTGAATGTAAATGTCCGATGTTAATGATCTTATTTCAAGCAGTTGGGGTCGACTTAAAATCCGCTCAAAAAAAATTCAATTAAAAAATTTGGCTCGTAACTCGGCTCATTTATTTTGATATGATCTCAATCTAAGCCAAAATTCAAATTAATTTTCAAGCTGAATTCACTAAATACACAACTCTAACATTAGCTACTAATCTGATTTCGAGCCGAGTTAGAAATCAGCTTAAGAAAAATAATCTTAAATTTGAACTCGTATTATTATTTTTCAATCAAACTAAAATTTAAATTAATTTTTAATTGATTAATGATCCGGAATCTAAATTCACAGCCACAAGTGCACGAGTAGTGGGAGCCTGTTTCTGTAGTTATAGAAATTGCAAGTGTTCGGACTTCAAAAGGATAAAATTGGCATTCCCTTTTGGATAAATATGACGGCAAAATTTCCAAATCGGCCATGCATAATCATACCCCTGAAGCCATATCGGGAGTGTTGTCCCATCAAACTCGGCTAAACATCACGATTTTTAAGGCAGCAGAACATTTAAATTTTGAATTCATTTTACTGTTTGTAGGCCGACACGTAACACGTCATCAGCATCTGGTGCAACGCGGAAAGCTTTTCACTGGCCACCGCATTCGCCAATTCTTTCTTTCGGGCCGATATTTTAAAACCCTTTTGTATATTTTATTTTTAAACTTTTGCAAAATGTAGATCCTTCTCAAATAGGGCTGTCACATCGACTTGTTGTTCGCGAACAGCACGAGTTCAGCTCGTTAACGAGCCGAACACGAACAACACGAATAATATTTGTTTGTTCATTTTGACTTGAAATATTACTGATAAATTATATATATCTTTGATGAGTAGTATTTTTAAAAAATTTAATTAACTATAAGGCTGCAAAGATTTATAATCAATTAAAAGTATTAATGAAGAAAATAGAAATAAAACTTATTAAATTAGATTTAAATAATGTTTAAAATCTTGTCCCAATTCTTAACATCTTATGACTATGTGATTAGGGTTGTTAGAAGGACTCTTTGTTCGTGAATGACTCTGATTAGTGCATATATCT